GGAATCCAAATTGGAAAAGAAGATGTAAACAGTCACTGTTTGCAGATGACATGATGCTATACCTAGAGTATCCCAAAGATGCTACCAGAAAACTACTAGAGCTAATCAATGAATTTGGTAAAGTAGCAGGATATAAAATTAATGCACAGAAATCTCTTGCAGTCCTATACACTAATGATGAAAAATCTGAAAGAGAAATTAAGGAAACACTCCCATTTGCCATTGCAACAAAAAGAATAAAATACCTAGGAATAAACCTACCTAAGGAGAAAAAAGACCTGTATGCAGAAAATTATAAGACACTGATGAAGTAAATTAAAGATGATACAGACAGTTGGAAAGATATACCATGTTCTTGGATTGGAAGAATCAACATTCTGAAAATGACTATACTACCCAAAGCAATCTACAGATTCAATGCAATCCCTATCAAACTACCACTGGCATTTTTCACAGAACTAGAACAAAAAATTTCACAATTTGTATGGAAACACAAAAGACCCTGAGTAGCCAAAGCAATCTTGAGAGCAAAAAATGGAGCTGGAGGAATCAGGCTCCCTGACTTCAGACTATACTACAAAGCTCCAGTAATTAAGGCAGTATGGTACTGGCACAAAAACAGAAATATAGATCAGTGGAGCAAGATAGAAAGCCTAGAGATGAACCCACACACATATGGTCACCTTATCTTTGCTAAAGGATGCAAGAATATACAATGGAGAAAAGACAGCCTCTTCAGTAAGTGGTGCTGGGAAAACTGGACAGCTACATGTAAAAGAATGAAATTAATTAGAACACTCCCTAACACCATACACAAATATAAACTCAAAATGGATTAAAGACCTAAATGTAATGCCAGACACTCTAAAACTCCTAGAGGAAAGCATAGGCAGAACACTCTATGACATACATCACAGCAAGATCCTTTTTGACCCACCTCCTATAGAAATGGAAATAAAAACAAAAATAAACAAATGGGACCTAATGAAACTTCAAAGCTTTTGCACAGCAAAGGAAACCATAAACAAGACAAAAAGACAACCCTCAGAATGGGAGAAAATATTTGCAAATGAAGCAACTGACAAAGGGTTAATCTCCAAAATATACAAGCAGCTCATGCAGCTCAATATCAAAAAAACAAACAACCCAATCCAAAAATGGGCCGAAGACCTAAATAGACATTTCTCCAAAGAAGATATACAGATTGCCAACAAACACATGAAAGGATGCTCAACATCACTAATCATTAGAGAAATGCAAATCAAAGCTGCAATGAGGTATCACCTCTCACTGGTCAGAATGGCCATCAAAAACTCTAGAAACAATAAATGCTGGAGAAGGTGTGGAGAAAAGGGAGCCGTCTTGCACTGTTGGTGGGAATGTAAATTGATACAGCCACTATGGAGAACAGCATGGAGCTTCCTTAAAAAGCTAAAAATAGAACTACCATATGACCCAGCAATCCCACTACTGGGCATATACCCTGAGAAAACCATAATTCAAAAAGAGTCATGTACAGCAATGTTCATTGCAGCTCTATTTACGATAGCCAGGACGTGGAAGCAACCTAAGTGTCCATCAACAGCTGAATGGTTAAAGAAGATGTAGCACATATATACAATGGAATATTACTCAGCCATAAAAAAGAAACGAAATTGAGTTATTTGTAGTGAGGTGGATGGACCTAGAGACTGTCATACAGAGTGAAGTAAGTCAGAAAGAGAAAAACCAATACCATATGCTAACACATATATATGGAGTCTAAAGAAAAAAAATGGTTCTGAAGAACCTAGGGGCAGGACAGGAATAAAGACACAGATGTAGAGAATGGACTTGAGTACATGGGGAGGGGGAAGGGTAAGCTGGCACGAAGTGAGAGAGTAGCATGGACATACATATATACTACCAAATGTAAAATAGACAGCCAGTGGGAAGCAGCCACATAGCACAGGGAGATCAGCTCCGTGCTTTGTGGCCACCTAGAGGGGTAGGATAGGGAGAGTGGGAGGGAGACGCAAGAGGGAGGAGATATGGGGATATATGTATATGTATAGCTGATTCACTTTGTTATAAAGCAGAAACTAACACACCATTGTAAAGCAATTATACTCCAATAAAGTTGTTAAAAAATAATAAAATTTAAAAAGAAAAGACATGGAAAGCAGTGGAATACTGAGGTGTTTAAAACCCAGGCATGCAGAACACAGCAGATATAAATTTTCACTGCAGTGAGGTCAGGATAATTTCAGTTTATCCAATGAAAAGGAAAATAAACTTTTTTTTAAGCATCTTTATTGGAGTATAATTGCTTTACAATGGTGTGTTAGTTTCTGCTTTATAACAAAATGAATCAGCTATGCATATACATATATCCCCATACGTCCTCCCTCTTGCATCTTCCTCCCACCCTCCCTATCCCACTCCTCTAGAGGAAAATAAACTTTTATGACCTGGTGGGGCTAGAGCAGGTTTAGTTAAAGGTACGTGGTAAGTTTCTAGTTATTGCTGCAGACGCTCTTTTCCCTCGTCCTTGGGAGTGTGCCAACTTCTTCTTCATGCCGTTTTCTATCCTCAAAAAGAAAAAGATTTCAAATGGGTATTTTTCTGACGATAAAAGTAATATTTGGGGCTTCCCTGGTGGCGCAGTGGTTGAGAGTCTGCCTGCCAATGCAGGGGACACGGGTTCGTGCCCCAGTCCGGGAAGATCCCACATGCCATGGAGCAGCTAGGCCCGTGAGCCATGGCCGCTGAGCCTGCGCGTCCGGAGCCTGTGCTCTGCAATGGGAGAAGCCACAACAGTGAGGGGCCCACGTACCGCAAAAAGAAAAAAAAAAAAAGTAATATTTGATAATTATAAAAATTCAGAAAAAGCAGACATTTTATATATAGGTATAAAATCATTTTTATACCTATATATAAAGAAAGCTCAGCAATCAGGGATGATGCTATAGATGTTTTGGTATGTATCCTTCCAGTCTTTTTTTCTGTGCATATATATGTCAATATGTACCGGTATCTTTAGTTTCGTTGGGGTCATACTACATTTATCAACATAGCATGGATGTCTTTCATACCAGTTAATACCAGTCAACAGCCTACTTTTCATGGTTGCATAGTGTTCAATTCCGTGCATGTGTCATGACTGATTATTCCATGACCAGTGTTGTAAATGAGCCAGGGGCTTCCCTTGGAGTGGTTCCTCCGTGGTCGCTTGGCTCTCTGTCAGAGATGGTTGGTGACTCAGGGTTTCTGAAATTACTTTCTCTTACTTATTTATGCGGGTTAGTGATAGCCCTCAAAGCACAGGTCATGGACGGAAAAGGGAATAGAGAGGTCTGTTAAAAAAATCAGCTCAAAAGCCACTGTCTTCAGCTTTCCCTGAATGAGCCCCACTCCATGCGGTCACTCTTTCTTCTGTGTCCCAACAGAAGAGGGACAGAATAGTATGCAGGAGCATGGGCTCTGGAGCCAGGCTGCAGGGGTTTGCATTCTGACTTCGTGACACTGGACATATTACTTCACATTTCTCTGCCTCAGTGTTCTCATCTGTAACATGGGGCTAATACTAGTATCTACCTTCTGGGCCAGATGAGATGATCCGTGCCAAAAGGACCCAGCAGCACAGGACCTGGCACACAGCAAGAACTCAACAAGTAGTGAGGGTTATTATTATTACTCAGTTCATTCAAGTGGCCCTCCCAGTTAGTAGCTAGGGAGCTCATCTGGATGCCTGGACAGCCCAAATAGATTATAGACTCTAAAAAGTTCAGATGCCAAAGTGACTACAGTTTTTTCCAGATAGTGAGCCCCCGGCCAATGTTACTGATTGATCGTCTAATCCAAACTGACTTGCTGCAATGGTGGGGTCCTCTTGGTTGAATTTGGCCTCCATTTCCCGTTAAAAAAACAAAAGCAAAGCAAAACAAAACAAAAACCCCAGAGACCCTAATAAGTGGATGTAGGTGAAATACAGTTCCTTCAGGTAGGTCAACATCATAGCTGTGGGCTTTCCTACACTCTTATCTAAGGAAATTCTTGACCAGAAGAACCTATAGATCTCTTAAATGATAGTGAAAATGACAAGAAATATTTAAAAGAACTAAAAACCATATTATTCCAAAAGACCAGTCTATAACAGAAGAACAAATCTTGTATTCCCTCATTTATCTGGGATTCTTGGGAACTGAATTTTTTTCCAGTAAGTAGATTTTCTAGATGGTGGAAGCTTATTCATTTAACCACCATAACAGTTTGCATTTTAACCATTTTGATGTAATTCTTTCTCATGCCTGTTGCATGGGTTATGGCTTTCATATAGCGAATATATTGAAAACATGTCAGCCAATTTGTTAAGCTTTGAGGCCTCATTGTGAATGTGTTGCTGTCATTTGTGTTTTTTTGTTGTTATTTGTTTGCTCTGCCAAATGATATCAGTGCCATTTGCCTTCTAAAGACTCAGACAACTGTACCTTTACACAGTTCTTTTCACTTTTCACTTTTTTCTCTCACTGGAGGGGTGTGTCAGTTTTTACTTTTTACTACAGAAATGTGCATAATCGCTTTCCCCATCTCCAAAACACCTCTCTGACTTATGATTTATAAGCTTTATACCCTGGGAAAACAGAACCCCAAGTCTGTTACTATTTTGTATACAGCAAGATTAATAGGTATTGAATGAAATCATGTATTTAGTCACAGGATTTTTGACCATTCGAGGACTTTAAGAATTTACTTCCTGGTTGTAGGCTGTTATGTGGTAGAAGTTTGACTCTGGGCAAAGTGCCATTTTATTTATAAGTTGTTGTGCTTATTGTTTTCCATTCTAGCACGAGTGCCTTCCTGTTGCTCATAGGTAGAGAAATTAAATTAAAGAAAAATAATAACCTGTCTCTGGGAAGCTGGTAAAGTTTTGTAAAATGGGATTTGGATATTTTTAATAGAAAGAAAGGTAAAATAGTCTTAGATATAATTTCTTGAGTGTTTTTCCATTTTCTTTACAGAGAAATACTGATGCGTCTGTCGGGAAACTCACAGACTAAGAAGTCATAACCATTGCACATCACTACCAGGTGCCTGAGGATCCCCGTCCAGATACGAATGTCCTAATTGCACAGGCCCATGAACAGCTCAAGAAAAATACTTTTGAGAATTTTGAAAGACTCATTGCTACCTGTGTATACCAAGATCGGGAAAAGTAAGCTTTTATTTTATTGATTCTAATAAATCATTTACGTTTCTGTGAACCTAATGAAGGAATTTGTATTTTATCAAAAAGGGCAAAAAGAAAATTGACATGTCTTCTCATACTCCACCATGTAGCAAAGCCACCTTAAATCATTTTTGGAGATTATCTGGGTACAGATATTTCACAGTGATGGATGGTGAGCTTTGCTTGTTGATGGAATAGGGGAGGCCCTGTATCTTCAAAATAATAGGATTGCCCCTTTGCATTTTCTTTTAATTGGTTTCTAGAGGTTTTCAATTGAAACATAGTAAATCAATGTTAGAAGGTTTAATTCTGAGATGTCGTCTCTTTACATTATTTTAGTGATAAGTGGGATTTATAAGTGTGACTTTTATAATACACAGAACAGGGGATTTGCAAGTATACTTTCTATAGAATTTCTTTGAAATTATTTCTCCTTGAAGATAATGAAGCTCAGCATAATCTATTTCGAATACATTTATCATGTTTGCATTGAGCTTTATTAAGTCACTGTTACAAACAACTGGAGCTCCATCTTAATATGTTTTGGTGTTCATCTTATCCACAGACTGATATAGTTGAGGGGGGCGGAATACTCAACTGGAGTTAGAAAACCTTAGATCAAACTCTAGCCTCTGATTTTATTACTACAGACCACTACCATCTCTTTTCCCCATGACCCCTTCCTTCATCCCCAAACCTGAAGTCTGCACCCCAAGTGGCTACCTACATACCCTAAATATCGTTGAAGGTCCCATAGTTTATTTTAGTTGTGAATGTTTTTTTTCCTAATCCATAATACACCCTTGTTGAGTTGTTATAAAGATGGTATTTTTCCTTGAATCTTTAAGCTTCTCTGAGCCTCCTGGAGGATGTGTGGCCTGAGCTTTGCATGACCCTGGCCTTGCCTTCCACCCTAGTGGTACCCCTTCCCAGGGTGAGAATTGTGACCCTCCTTCACTAAAGGAACACCTTCTGGGAAAATGGGGCTAGTTGATCAGACAACTCTGAGGTTCTCCAGATCCAACAAGCTCCAATTCTAGACATAAACATTCTCCTATCATTTTATAAACTACTGCAAAGAAAGAAGCCCACTTTCTTTCCTGTTGGTTCTAATTTTGCCTGATGCCTGGAAGAACACTGTCTGAGTTAGAACATTGGACAAGCATTTCTGTGCCCTCAGCAGGCTGGGGAAAATGACTGTTGGGCTGGTCTGGAGAAAAAATTGAGGTGAACGTTAAGGTCCCGGTTGGGGCTTCTAGGTTATAAGGTTTGGGTCCAAGGAAAAGACTAGAAAAACACCCTCCAGTCATATAATACTTGTGTTGGAGGCTCTAGATGCCTGTCAGATTAAGAGATGTTTTCAAATATCAGAACCATTTTTGACTAGTGGTCAAGAATGCAGATCGATTACTTAGAGCAATACTCGTGGCTACAGCCTTAATAGGCTGTACTATCTCCAACCAAGAATCTGAATCTTGATGGAAAGGCCTTTGTAAGGACAGAATCTAGTGACTTGTGAAATGAAAAACAGTTGGTGAAATGCAGTATTACTGTTTTTTTTCCTTACTGTGATTCCAGTACCAGTTTTCATACTTATTTCCAGGTGCATGCTTTTAGGACACATCTGTGTTTTCTTTCCTATAGAGTGTAATTGTTACTCAAGAGACACAAAGTATATACAAGTCCACTTACTTTGTTTTAATGCAGGGAAAAATTATTACCCAGCAAAGACATCAAAAGGCTGTGCAGGTCCTCCTGATTACCTTTGAATGATGATCTTCTGGGATCCTTACTCTCCAGGTAAGTGAGAACTCCACCCTCATGGGCAATGTCCTGCATATTTTTGTTTCGGAGACTATTCCCTGGTTTTTTGTTTGTTTGTTTTTTGTTTTTTTTTGCGGTACGCGGGCCTCTCACTGTTGTGGCCTCTCCCGTTGCGGAGCACAGGCTCCGGACGCGCAGGCTCGGCGGCCATGGCTCACAAGCCCAGCCGCTCCGTGGCGTGTGGGATCTTCCCGGACCGGGGCACGAACCCGTGTCACCTGCATCGGCAGGCAGACTCTCAACCACTGCACCACCAGGGAAGCCCTATTCCTGGTTTTACATCTGCCTTTAATTGCCCTTGATTTACCCTTGACTTTTTATTTATTACCGATGACACATCTCCATTTAAGTGTTAAAAAGGAAAACTGAGTCATGATTTTGAATGTTAGGGAGCCTATTATGAAGTATCATTTTATCTTTTTAACATTAAGATATACTTATATGCACACAGATTCCTGGGACAAAATGAAAATGTACAAACTCATTGGTTATGAGAGTCTTAGATGTAAAATTTAGGGCAGATTTTTCAAAGCAGTAGTTTCTAATGGCCACAGACACGCAGTAAGAGCACCTCGTGTTATTAGCACAGAGCTCTGTCCTGCTAGAACACTAGATGTAAAGTGCAGAGATTCTGATGTTGCAAAAGGGAAGCACAGTCAACTGCTTTCTGAAACACCTCACTTCTTGTACTGAACCTGACTCTTGACTTCCTGGCACCACCCTCCTAGCCACCCAGACTCTGGTCATCTTTTATGCTTACCATGGCATGACTCCAGCCCCCCCCTCTAGCATACTTATCTTGATAATTCTGACATTTGGGGCTGTGTTCTAGGCATTGTTATCATTGCTTTGAATACATTACCTCATTTACTTTGTGAGGACAACTTGGTGAGGTCAGAGCAATTATCCTATCTTACAAGAGGATGCTGAGGTCTAGAGAGAGAAAATTTTGCCTAAAGTCACGTAGTCTAGAAAAAGAAGAGCTGTGACTTAACCCCTGAACCTTTAAAATGCACATCTTCTGCTTCTAACCATTTTGAATTATTGTCTACAACTAGCCAGTAGATTAGAATGTCTTGACAGTCCTACCTCCTTTCTACTACTTGCATCTACTCTCTCCCCTCCATTCCCGCCATCTTCACTCTTGTTCTGACCCACCTTTCTTCTTGACTGTTGGCAGGGCTTCCACATTGGTCTTTCTTCCAATGGCCTCTAAATTTTTAAATCCATCTTTACATCTTGCAGCTAAGTACCTTCTAAGAGCAAGAATATCATAGTGTCACTCTTCTATTCATAAGCCTTCTGTACCATTTCTTTGTTCTCTGAGGAATGACCAAACTCCTTAGCTTTGAGCTCCTTCTCCCCCTTCTCCATTGTGGGGCTTAGGGTTGTCACTAGGGCATTATTCTCAAGCAGGGGCTGGAGTGGGGAGTCCTCATCTGAGACAAAAAAAGAAACAAAAGGAAGCAGACAAAACTAAATCCCATGTGGGAGAACTAGAGTCCAAGGTATCAGGAGGGGAATCAAGAAGAGGCCAATTCAGTTGGATGTGTGTATATGCATTGGATTGACCTGGGGTTATCTTCTAGACTATCAGCTCTATTTGCTTTCATTTGCTAGCAGCAGTATGAGGGATAAATAGGCCATCCCAGTGTAAAGGACCTGAGATGAAATAGGCAGGCTTAGGAGCCCGGTTTCTCCACAGTTATCACATTCCCAAAGCTCGTCTTCTCATTCCCAACAGTCCGGCCAAATGGCTCATTTAGCATTTCACATGTATTCCTCCTGCATTCCCACTTTTTTGCCTTTTCTCTTGCTGTTTCTTCAGTAGGAACTAGCTTCCAATTTTCTTCACCCGCTGAAAGCTTGTTCTTTATGACCCGTTTCAAATAGCACCGTATCCATGAAGCCCTCTTGGATTTGCTTGCCTGGCGGTGATTATCTCCTCCTAAGGATTCTCACCGCACTATTTATGTTTCCTTTTTTGTCTCTTACCTTGTAATGAAGACTTGTGACTAGACATTTGATCCACTTAGATACAGAGACCTGCTTCTAACCTGTTTGATTTACTGCCTAAAAATAAGCAGTGGCTTGTCACATCTTGACAGTTTTACCCCTACCTTGTCTCCTATATTCTTTGAATCTGCTTGCTAGCTGTGTAATCTTGTGCAAGATTTTTGACCTGCCTGAACCCCAGATTCCTTACCTCTAGAATGAGATAACACTACCTACTTCCTCGCGGTTCTCAGAGTGACTTGAGATAACATACATAAATTCCCCAGTGCCATGGCACCTGGTACTAAGTACTGACTGGGGACTAGGAGAGGAGTTTCCATCAGGGACCGTAGACCACACACTCTGACTTAGAAATGAACTGGAAGAGACCTGCATCCTTCCACATAGAGGAAGCCTTGTTTTTAAACAGTTGGATCTGAATGCCTTTCACACATTAAGCTGTCTTCTAGTCAGGAAGCTGCGGATGTTTATTAGATTATCTCTTGATGGCCTCGAGGATGAGTTGTCCTGGAAAGTCCAGTAATGTGGGAGCCTGGCCTCCGGGGGACCTAGATGTTTCCTATCCAGCACTGAGGCCACCAAGTCATCATCCTCTCATCCTCTCAGCAGACTGTTTTGTCTTTGCCTTGACGATTTGACATTAAAGGCAGAAAGACGATTCCCCAACTCGTTGCGAAGCCGGTTCAGTCTCAGATCACATCCGCCTCTGAGCCCGGCTTAGCTCTGAGGAGGTCATCCCTCTGAGCCGCTAAGCAGTCTAACTTTGCCTCTAATTGTGCACTGACCCTTCTCCACACTCAGGGGAAACTTCAGACTAATCAGATTAGAAAATGTCTCATTCCCATTCCCCTCTCCCTCCAATATGCCCTGCCACGATTTGGGTCACATGCTTGGTGTTTTGCATCATCTCCGCAGATTCCTTTCAAAGACTGCCCTAATTCCTAATGGGCCCATCAGCCTGCAGCTTACATTTATATTCTGCATTCTTATTGTTCCCCACAGACTCCACAGGGCTTTCCAGAGCCTTGACCAGACTCTCTTTCTACACAGCCCTCCTGTGGCACGCTAAGCCAGAGCCCCTCTGACGTCTGCAGCCTCCCGTGGGAGACAGGCCCGGAGTTTGTTGACTTGGT